TGAAGGATGTAAAAGGGTACAAAAAACCTCCTCGTCTCGTGAAGGGAATCACCATAGAAAGCATAATGTTTTGGAACTCAACTAAGCTTCTCAGGAGAAGGCACATTAGAAGTTTACCACGCCTGTGAGAGATGCTAGCTGAAGAGGTCTCTCTTTCAACAAAGAGGAAGTTAAAGCCATGTCTCTCCTCAATGGAGGAATTAATCGAGTCGGGAAAAGATAGATCTAGGATCAATACTCCAATCATGCCCTGAACACCTTGATTCATTTTACCAATCACGTATATCGTTACAATATCATATGTGAACTATTTCTTCAGTCATTCTGTTAAGTTTCATGAGTTTCCAACTCAAAACTAATTGACAATGAATGGATTGGCTCAAATCTCTTATATACTACTCAAGTCACTTTCCATCTTTCCAATGTGGGATCTTTCTCTACACATTCTAGATTTCGAATGGAGATCGTTACGCACGGTGCAATTGTTTCGTACATGTCCATTTGATTACATTCTAAATTATATTTTAATATTGTTGTAACAATATATAATATGATTTTACCAATAATTTAAAATTTTATATACCATTCATATAACAAAGGATACGATACTAGGAAATGAACATACAAATATGAATTTACATGAGCGTGACGAGAACATTATGTTTAGATCAATTCCATGTATTGTCTCTTAATTCACTTTATTCGATTTGACTTGTTTCCTGAAGGCGTGTAGAGTAGACAAGTTAGGTTTCTAAATTTGTCTATACAATCTCACATCCATTATGCAATTGGCCACAAATAGAAATTCATTATTTCATTCATATATAATCTGTAATAATTGTATCATTCAATATAATTCGGTTAAGCAAACTTTTAAACTAATAGCTTATATAATATTTAAGCTAACTTTTAAACTAATAGCTTATATAATATTCGGATATTCGCGGATATCCAGATTTTTAACGAATATCCGGATACCGGATATCCGGAATTTAGGGATGCGGATACAAATACTAAATTGGCGGATAATACGGATACTAATACATATATAGATATTTTTAAAAAGCTGAAATCAGTTCCGTTTACAGACCTATCCAAAATTATCTTTCGTACAAACATTATATGATAATAAATACAAAATGGTTGATTTCTCATATCGTTGGGATAAAAGTTATACCGTTTTAATAGTTATTAATCATAAGATGATGCCAAATAACAGTAACAAATAGATGTTCTCAATCTAGTATCTTTTTACTTTTTTAAAATTTTAGTATCTGCCTTCTTCTGCTAAAAGAAACTTTAACCATCTCCTTTATCAATCAACTTACAATTCCTTAAATTGTAATATTTAAAATTCTTGTATAGCGCTGGCTATATACATATAAAAGTTGGATTTAAGATGCTTTTGAACAAAATCACTTTCCAATAAACTATTTGATTCCCCGTAGTAGCGACAAAATAAGCCTAATAGAGTCTCTCAGCAGCCTAATAGAGTCAATATATCTTTTCCATGCACATCCGAGTTGTAGTAATCCACATGTTATTACACTAAACTCAATGTGTCTCATTTTTCACTTTGGATTTTTAAGATGTTTGTTATTTTATTTTATTTAGGTTATGATCTTATAATATTCTTGTTTTTTTTTTTTTTGTAACTGGTCGGTTTGGCTTTAGATTTAAAACAGATATAGAACAATTTCAATAGTTAGCACCTTTCTTTAAAATATATCTTTTTTTTCATCTTTGAAATTAAATCGATGTAAATATGTTACCACCGCAAATTTATTGTAAATACTCCCACCGAGAGACAAACTGAGAACCGACGTACGTATATTCTTCGAATCGAGTACCAACAACTTCGTATAAATCGAAATATCCATATTTATCCGCGTACACGAATGAATCATCAAAAATATATATAGCATAAAGAAGACAAGAAAAGGATCCAATTTAGATCTCCATACGAGAAATTGATTATATATATATATATATATATAGAAAGATCTTATCCATTCCATCAACAAATCCAATGGAAATCACAGACTCGAAAAATATGAAATTGAAGAATCTTATCTCTTTTTTCATATGATAGGCCTTCGTAGCCTCAGGAAAGTGTTAGTACCAAGGGAATAGACTTTTAGCCACATAGCCACTATCTTTTCGTGTTAAAAAAAAAAAACCACTATCTTCATTTTTTTTCGGCAAAAAAATATTGTTTTATATAAGTTATTGGACATAGATTTTTCTCAAAAAAAATAAATCCAGCCAGTGTATTTACGTAAAAGAATAAAGAACCTTGTGCTCTTCTTCTCTTAGCTAAATAGTCAGCACGAATATTATTACAACATGCAATAAACTGAATATAAAAAAATGGAAATTTTTTTTCAAAAGCTTAAAAAATTGTATTTCTACTGCAAACGTAGACCATTCAAATGGGTTTTCTAAAATAGAAATTAGTTTTGAGCAGTCTAAAGCAAAACCAAAATTTGTCTTCGACTCTGCGATGAGGCACTCCATTGGCCAGAGAAAGGATTCGAATTCTGCTTGAAAAAGAGATAGTCCCTGATGGAAATCTTTAGTCCCATGAAAATAGGTGTTTGTCCATCCATAACTACCTACCTGTGTACACTGAAAAGATCAGTTACCATCCAAGATCCATTGTTGATTCCGAAAATCACGTAATGAATTTGTTTAAAGGTAGAAAACAAATTCAATTAACCCTCTTGCTATTTCTGATCAAAGACTCAAAAGAAAGATGAATTTTATTGCTTAGAGAAAAAGTTAGGGTTTTGCTCAAGAACAATTAAAGTTTTTGCGTAAAGTTGCCGATACTTTGAATAGGGGACAAATCCCCCTATTTATAAATGATTCAGGCAGTTTAAAGATAAGTTAAACTTCTAAATCTTCGAGACCTTATCTTCAGCTTTTCTTTTCTTCTCGCGATTCTCCTTTTCTCTTAAGGAAAATCTTTCTTTTTCTTGAACGAGAAGTCGGTTTAGGCGATCTCCCGTCTTCGGGTCGAGTTCGCCATGCGACCTCATTCGCCGGGCCCATTGACAGGCCTAACCGAGATTCTCTGGTTTAACTGAATTCTCAGATATATTCGTAATTCGTCCGGTTTAAGCTAGTATTGTCGGAGGTACTAATTCTTGCACCAACACCCATCAATTTGACATTTTGGGTGAGTAACTCCCAAAATTGTAGAAGCATCAATTTGACACTTTTTCATGTTTTGAACTAATATTTACGATACAATTATAAAATACACAAAAACTGATTTAACCACCTAATAGTATTTTCATTTTTTGTTCTTTTTTTTTATATTTAAAATAGCCACCAAATAGTTGATAATAAGAGTTTTTTTTTTCTTTCTTTTTTTACATTTCTGTTCGTGGATAAATATTAGATTTGTATGATATATTGGTATACAATAGTTGAGTGAAATTGTTAGTATGTGTATTAAGTATTAACACTTGCAGAGAGTTCAGAATTCGGGTATATTAAAATGAATTTGTTATGAAAAAAAAAAATGCAAAAGTGATAAACTATTAAGTTCTAAATAATACTAACTAGATTTTAACCCGCGGTACACCGTGGGGCTATATTTTCTTAAAAAAATCAAAATGTAATTTGTTTGATAGATTATTTTGATTGTTAATTTTAGGATTTCATCCGTGGTATACTATCTTTTATAAATATCAACCCAAACTCGTCCCATCATATTACCCGTCCCGTGAAATTAAACATCATTTAGTTATTTTTCTTTTTAATAATACTTTTATTTAAAAGCTATATAATTCAAGTCAATTTAAAAATTTCTTTTAAATGGTTCCCATAAGATATATATACATATATATTAAATTTGTATAGAGTTGAAATAATATTAATATTACAAACTTTTTATATAATTTAAATATTATAAATATTTTTAAAAATATGCAATATATATTTTTTGTTATTGAATAAGAGGATATTATGTGTAAGAAATGTAGAAAATAAGAGTTTAATATTTTTATTATGGAGTCGCAAGAAAAATCTTTTATTTCTATACATGTTATTCGTTTATTAATAATAAAAGAAAACAAATCCTTTAAATTAGATATTAACTAAAATAAACGCACCATAATTACTTATTAAGTAACAACCAATAAATTTCACCAAAAAATAGGTAACAACCAATAAATTCTAAACGCAGTAATTAAAGAATGAGATATTAAAAAAAAATATCAAATAAGATATAAGAATCTTAAAATAATTGAATATCTAAATAATTTAATTGTTAGTGTCGATTTTAATGCCTTCATTAATGTGGATTTTTTTTTTTACAGAGAAATATTTCCTAAAGATTATCACATTAATGACTCAGAAAATTAAGGAAGATATGAATTTATGATTCTCGAAATCGTGTTGGTAATATTTTTCAAATTTAAATAATTAATGCCAATGGCATTCATCCGTAAATACATTCCAACTCCAGGATTTATTTGCTAAAAGTCATCCAAAAATGTATATATAGATACGGGGCTGGACAAACATTTCTAGATCAATAGAGAAATGTTAATTCATACATAAAATCATTGTCGCTAGTACATGGAATTAGCCGAATTATAAATCTTCGTAGTTAGAGGGCAACGTTTAGATTGGCCCAAATATTTTCGCTAAGGCCCATATTATATCGACAAGCGTTTTAGTCCAATATATATAATTGTAAGCCCTTATAGTGGAAATACAGGAGTACGTAGATATTTTTTGTCCATAAAGCCCATAAAAATGGCCATTTCACTTCTTCTTTTTTTTCCTTAGTTTGGAGCATATAGTGCAAACAGAACCATCTGTTGTGGACATGTGTGTTGTTGAAGAGAGGTTTCGTCTTAGAATTATCCGAGAAATCTACATATACATTTTTACAGGATTTTTTTGCATTAATTCATTTGGATCCGGGTTTTATCCGGGTTTAATTCTATTCGGATCTTGGATAAGTAATTTTAGGAATGTTGTAATAAAAACGACATTAAATCCAAGATATTACAAAAATCGTTGCCAAAAATATCTTCAGAAAAGATATTGCGATGAACTAATCGTTGCCTAAAATCCTGCCTAAGTTCAATACGCTTTCTTTAAAAAATCCCAACTGTTAGATGTCATCCAAACTAATTACTCCTACATACCTTATCTGAGATATTTTCTCTCAAAATCTGCAAGAATTCAATTTTTTAGAAACATATTTATGACACAAAATACATATTCACAGCATATTCCTAAATACAAAACTATAGCTGAGATTTTATTCCAATTAGCTAAGGTATCGAATATTTTATGCTTTCCGATCAAGGAATTTTTTTTACCTAACTTATGAGTCTATAAATACTCTTATGCTTCACGTCTCATAACATCATCATACACAAAAGCAACGATCTAAAAAACCCAGCAAACACATGAATTAAGAGAGATTTAACACAGCTTATTCTCTAAAGGTACGTTCACTTTACCATTGTTACTTTCTTTTTTTCAATTATGTTTTACACAAGTACATATCGTAGTAAAACATGTTCCATTTTCTCCCTGTAGGTTACTCATTCTCAAGGCAATGTTGAAAACAATACCAAATCAAAGTTTAGAATTCCATCACAACTAACCTTTAGGAGATGTGGTAACACTATTTTTCTATGGATTATCAGATTCATTAGTAAAGGTAATGATTTACACTATACTTTTGTATATCCAAACCACATGTCAGGAGACGAAAAAAAAACACTAAATCTGAGTTATTTCATTAAGCAACACTCAAAACTATATAACTACAACTCTTGGAAATGAAATTTTGTTACTAACCTTTGTCTCTATTGCTTGTGAGGACAGATGACACGACTCTTCACTAATCATTTACTTCCACTTTCATAATAAAAAATTAAGCTTCACCTATGAAGCAAAACAAACGTTAGTTACATAGATTAAGAATCTTTTAAGGTACATGTTATAAAGAAAACAATTTCTTATCTTTGTGTTGGTCACGAGACTGATAAGCTGAGGGTTCCTTTGGTATTCATGAAGAAGAAGGCTAGAACCAGTGGAAGAAGGGCTCAAGTCTGGGGCTCGAGCTGGGGAAAGAAGAATGCAACATCAAGTGGCTAAGTGAAGGCATTCAAGAGAAGATAAGAGGAGAGTTAAGGAAGAGCAGAAAAATAGACAGAAATGATAGAAAATAGTGAGCTTTACCTAAACAGCCGCTCAAAGAAAGAATAAGATTATTGTTGTATAAAGCTTGAATCATTTTATCTTCTATAGATAATCTGATATTAAATGATTAGTTGATAAATCAATTAGATTGTTTAACTTTTGTAAAATAAAGACACATGAATATATATGTTACAACATTTCTGTAAAGTAGCTACAACTTCTATAAGAGAGATGATTATTGAATCTAAAAAAAAACATGATTATTTCATGAATTGTGAGAAGTTTAATTCTGAAACCAATGACGATCACACTTCTCAAAATTAAACGATGATTAGTGAATAACATGAGAGACGGTAAAGAAAAGTGTTAACTTTGTATGCTAGAACATTAGCAATTAGTATTTGAAATCGAAATAGGATTACAGAATCAATATCTATATATACATTTTTGAATGACTTTTAGCAAATAAATCCTGGAGTTGGACCTTATTTACGGATGAATGCCATTGGCATTAATTATTTAAATTTGAAAAATATTAATTAAAGATATTACCAATACGATTTCGAGAATCATAAATTCATATCTTCCTTAATTTTCTGAGTCATTAATGTGATAATCTTTAGAAAATATTTCTCTGTAAAAAAAAAAAATCCACATTAATGAAGGCATTAAAATCGACACTAACAATTAAATTATTTAGATGTTCAATTATTTTAAGATTCTTATATCTTATTTGATATTTTTTTTTTAATATCTCATTCTTTAATTACTGCGTTTAGAATTTATTGGTTGTTACCTATTTTTTGGTGAAATTTATTGGTTGTTACTTAATAAGTAATTATTGTGCGTTTATTTTAGTTAATATCTAATTTAAAGGATTTGTTTTCTTTTATTATTAATAAACGAATAACATGTATAGAAATAAAAGATTTTTTTTGCGACTCCATAATAAAAATATTAAACTCTTATTTTCTACATTTCTTACACATAATATCCTCTTATTCAATAACAAAAAAATATATATTACATATTTTTAAAAATATTTATAATATTTAAATTATATAAAAAATTTGTAATATTAATATTATTTCAACTCTATACAAATTTAATATATATGTATATATATCTTATGGGAACCATTTAAAAGAAATTTCTAAATTGACTTGAATTATATAGCTTTTAAATAAAAGTATTATTAAAAAGAAAAATAACTAAATAATGTTTAATTTCACGGGACGGGTAATATGATGGGACGGGTTTGGGTTGATATTTATAAAAGATCGTATACCACGGGTGAAATCCTAAAATTAACAATCAAAATAATCTATCAAACAAATTACATTTTGATTTTTAAGAAAATATAGCCCCGCGGTACACCGCGGGTTAAAATCTAGTATTAGTCTATTTCAATATCAAGATTATACGTAATCCAGCATCCATGAAAAATCAAAATTACTAATACAGATTATACTAGAGATTAATAAAAACAATAAGATTTAAAAATTATAAGTAACCAGAAATATTATGCCAATTTTAAGAATCACTATCACCGTTTAAAATTGATGTTGACCAGACTCGAGCCCTATACAAATTTAACATTTAGTGAAAAAATCCGAAGAATGATAACCATTCATTACAAAGAAACATCGACAAACACCAAAAACTTATGCAAATTCCTAGAATTTTTTGGGATCTAACGTATGAAATCGAGAGTATATTTGAGAAGAAATTAAGCAGGAAAGAGGACGAGAGAATCAAAAAAGAGAGACAGAGAACTAACAAGAAGCCTTCTTCTCGGATCATCCTCATGAAACCGCCGAGACCTTTCTCTCTAATCGCCTCCAACGCACTCTACGCCACCGTCAAAGCATCGTCTTCCGCTATCTCTCTCTCTCTCTCGGAATCGGGATTCAATTTCAGTATCGAAATAACAAGGGACATGACAATTGCCAAACGTATCGTTTTGGTTTTTGTTGGGCTACGCTTTGTGATTTACATGGGCCACTTCCCACTTTCCCCATTTCTATTGTAAATACAAATCAAAAACCAATTCCAACTTCAATACGTTTTTTTTTTTTTTTGAATTATTTAAAAATTATAATTAGATGTGGTATAATATTATTATTAAAAATTTATATGTATAGTTAGAATTCTATAATATGTTTTAAAAACCAAAAAATTATATTAGATTATTTTATGTTTTAAGTTGATAACGGTATGTGTTTTTGACAATATGCAATATATATTATCTTGTGTTAGAACATCTATATTTACATATTTGAAGTATATTTTAGAAAATAGTCTTCGTTTTCTAAACTATTTACAAAGAATGTCATTGTTTATATCATGTATCCATATAACCAAACACAATTAAAAGTTTTTAACATTAATTATACAATTAGAAAATATCTATATAATGTTCCCAATTTATTAATATGTTTTTTAAATAAAAATATTATTAAAAAGAAAAATAACAAAGTGATGTTTGATTTCACGGGACGGAGTTGTATTATGGAACGGGTTTGGTTCGATATAAATACGGGACGGTATACCACGAGTAAAATCCTAAAATTAATAATCAAAATACAATTATACAATTTTAAACACTAATCAAAACAAACAATATTAACAAAACAACTATAACTTAAAATTTAAACTTTTTAGTTAAAAAAATCGACCCGCGGTATACCACGGGTTAAAATCTAGATGAGGGAACCTTATATATCAGTGCGTAATGAACTATATAATTTTCTCTATCTCTATATTTTCAAAAATGAACTTCAAATATACTAATCTTACAATATATATATATATATATAGATAGATATACATATATATATATATATTCATTTAAATCAAAACACAGTAGAATATATGTAAAACAAAAGTCTTAAAATAAAAATAAAAATTTTTCTTTAACAAAAAAATTCAAATATGTCAAATAAAATATTTAAATTACTATTAAGAAAAATTAAATAATATTTAGGCCCGCGGTGTACCGCGGGTTAACATCTAGTAATTTATTGTAATCGTATGTGTTGTAGTTTATTAAATTCGATCGATTGATTATCTGAAATAAGATGATGGAGAAAATTTTTGTTGCTAGATTTTTGTGTGCACACGGATATAGTAGTTCGACTGCTAGAGGCGATCAACTCAATTTTTCACTGAACTAAGATTTCATTTTTTTTTGCTGGCTGTTGGTGCAGGAATTAGTACCTTCGACAATACCGATTTAAACCGGACGAATTATGAATTAATATTGAGATTAAATCAGAGAATCTCGGTTAAGCCTGTTGATGGGCTGAAGGAGGAAATCGCATAAGCCGACTTCTTCGTTCAAGAAAAAGGAGATTTTCCTAGGAAGAAAAGGATAATCCCGAAAAGAAAGGGAAATCAGAAGATAAGGCCTCGAAGATTTAGAAGATTAACATATCTTTAAACCGCCCTTAATCATGTATAAATAGGGGGTTTGTCCCCTATTCAAAGGATCCGGAACTTTACGCAAAAAACTCTAATTGTTTTTGAGCAAAAACCCTAACTTTGTCTCTAAGCAATAAAGTTCATCTTTCCATTGAATCTTTGATCAGAATTTAAAAGAGAGTTAATTGAATTGTTTTCCTCTTTAAACAAATTCATTGTGTGATTTTTAAAATCAACACTGGCTTTCAGCTGCCTATATGCCGAATAAGAAATAAAGATTGTCCTATGCCTTTGACACCCAAATCAAAATAAAGCAAGTAATTGGTTAGAAAACGGAGAAATCAATGGATATATTGTTTACGTACGTATTCGAATTTGGTTGGCGATGGTAAAATCATCCGAGTACAAGGTTACAAGATAAACTTGCACTATAAAAAGTTACTTCTAAAAAAAGAAAAAAGTTAAACAAAACTCTAGAAGCAGCCTTTTATCAAAAAAAAAAAGACTCTAGAAGCAGTTTTTTTTTTCCCTCTTAGAGGATTGGTGGATAATGACGAGGAAGAGAATAAAAGCATACCATCTTTGATTAAAACAAAAAAAAGAATTAAAAGGATGTTTTGTAAAAGCTTGTTTTTGAATGCCCTCTTGTTTTTCACCTCAAGTCGTATCTATAGTAAAATAATTACCAATTTGAAAGACGTGATCCATTTTCTATTAATTTAATCTATACATAAAATATAAAGACAAAGAAAGAACTTTCAAATCATCGTGGATAGAGAAAAATATCGCCTTAGCTTAAACAAAAAACGGGTCTAATATGAGCACTATTATCGGTGGATCTATATAGGTGTATAAAAGATAAGAGATCTAAAACATAAATCAAAACTAAATAAAAGATATAGATCCGGTTACAACTTTGGATATTTCCACCAGATTTAGACTCGCATACGTGTCACTTTTTGGTTGGTAGAAAATATGTGTAAAAAAAAAAAAAAATTAGGCATGTGTTTTCTCTCTTTAGCCGTTTTCCCCGACTCTTCCTATCTCTTGTTCATCTATCGCTGATGGCGAAATCGGAACCCAAATCCGTCGATTTGAGAACCGAAATGAGTCTCAAATGGTGTTGTCTGAGTGGTCGTTCTGCTGTTGTCCTCATTTTCCACGACTCCGGTTCAAATCGGAGAGTTTGGTTTCTACCGTTCAAGATTTTTCACCGACTCCGGTTTTCCACTTATCTCTCTTTCGTCTTTCTTTATTTCTTTGTGTCTATCCGCATGAATTTGATCAAGTTTGCTCTGTTTTGTTGAGGTTAATTGGAGAAATAGCATGAGATGATCTATCCGCATGAAATTTGATCAATGCTTGATGTTATTACCAATGAAGCAAGGTAATTCTTCTTCCTTGGGACAAGGTAGGTCAATCACATTTCTGAAACGTAAAAAGCTTCAAAAAATGATATTAGACTCTGTCAATGAAACGGTAGGCTTCAGCACAGTAGCTAGAAGTGGTGGTGATGCTTTGAGACCAACTTCATGAATGGAAACGAGTTCTTCTTTCTTTTGTACCAAAGGACAAGGATGAAGTTGTGTATCAAGTTTTGTAATATGATAAATATAGTTTATGTCTCAAGATTTGTAAAAGATTTTTAGAAATTTTTTCAAAAATTTAAATTTTTGGATCTTCAATTTTGGATCTACTATTGGAGTGTGAAAAAAATAAAAAACTAACTAAGTGTCTAAATTTCAAATTTTGCATTATTTACAATTATAAATATGGTTTGGACTCCTAATGTGAGCCCAACTATTGGAGTTGCTCTAACATTTGGTATGTAACAAATTTTTTTTTTTTTTTTTTTTTTACTAATTGGTATGTAAGTGTAACTAATTAAGGTGGCTTACTGTCTGCTAGTCTGATACTGTGATACGTCAGGTATATAATCAGTATCTTGAATAACCAATAATAAAAGTAATTAGTTATTAAATATTTGTTTAGAATTTGCTAGAAAAGATAATCATTTGTTTAGAATTTGCTAGAAAAGATAATCATATTCTCCAGAAATTTATCTAAAGAAAAGATAGTATTCCCTCTGTTTTATTATAGGTGTTGTTTTTTTTTTTTTTGGACAAATTTATAGGTGTTGTTAAATTTTTTTTTTACACATATTAAAAAATAATTACTTTTCTGTTTTATCCATAATTGATATATTATACAATTTTTTTCACGGGTCTATACATTAAAATAGTAATGATAAAACTGAAAATTGTACCAAATATTTACATTAAAAATATAAAATGACATTTATTTTAAAATAAAATTTAAGTTTAAAACTACATTTAATATGAAACGGATGGGGTAAATACCAAATTTTTCTAAAACCCAGTATTAGAAGACAGATAAAAATGATGTGGTTGATATTCTATGTGAGATGTATCATTTATCTTCATTCTTTAGATCTCATTCCATGATTTTGACCCCAAAAAGTGTTTGATTTAGTGAAGTGGCAACAATAACAACCTTCTCGAAAATGTTAATTCAGCTTTAGGATTAGGATCTAGGGTGATATTTGTCAGATGTATCAAACTATGAATATATCAAACTTAAATTCCAAAACAAGTAGAAGAGTCTATAAAACAAGTTTGATAACCGAAAGCAATTACGCGTTACATGCTTCACTAACCAGGCTTTTAGCGAAGCACATACTAAGATACATCTCCATCCGTAGGATCGGTTCGGATAGTTGACATGGTTATTTGGCCTTAAAGAGATGGATATGTTGTTTTGAAAATAACGTCATTTTACAGACTTTATATATAGTAATAAAACAGAGAATCAGATTGTCGGAATATTGATTCACATGTTATTGTTATATTTCGACTGTTCCTAATTAATCCAAGTTTTAGAATGAAAAATTTTCTATGTATTTTTATTAGTTAATGATGATGACCTGTAAACTTCAATAAAAAAATGATTACTATTGAATTAGAATTATAAGAAAATTTTATTCACATAATTGATGTAGATGCATTTTATAATGAAATTTTAATTTAATTTTTATATATGTGAAAAACTTAAAATTTTGATTAATTTGAAAGATATGAATTACTATTTATTTAGCTAGAATGTCTCTTTTACTCAAAATATCTGAAACCAAGATTTATTTCTCTCTTTGGAAGACATAAAGGCCACTGAGTGGATGCATAATCCTTTTGCATTGGAACTTTACCAAATATTAGCCACCGTATTAACTAGTTTCTTAAAAAAATATTTTGGAAGTAGAAAATGTTTTGGCAAAAATAATCGATTCGTGAGAGTTTACGGAAAACAAGAAAAATAGTCGAATAGAATCTCCTTATTAATCAAAGTATCGATTGCAAAGTACAAGAATCAAGGCACAACGAATCAATCTATAAACTCTAGTCATGTTTTAGAGTTGAGTCATGTGTCTTGCCGTTTTTCGCAGTCTCTTGTGTTTGCTCTCGATTTTGTGTCGTCTTTCGTCGAATGGGGCTCTCCTTTTATAGAGAAGTCTTCCCAATCCTAATCCTCGTGGGATTTGGATTTGAGCAACCGCCCTTTCACGTGATAAAGTCGTCTTCGATATTTCCTCATTAAGGGTCTGACTGGTTTAAACGCAGCGGTTGCGGTTGCAGTT